ACCAGTAATTTGACAAACGACTAGTTAATCTTATTATTATTTTAATCGCCTTAATGAATCAAACGAACCATAGTTATTGTATGAAATGTGGCGGTACTAAAAATGCCGAAATTGACTTGACATAAGCAGCGCAAAACTTCTAAATTTGGAAAAGCATATATTTGCATGGTCGACTATGGTAAGAGATAGTAAAGAGCACACATACCATTCATAACCATAAGACGATAGAGGAAGCTCTTTTCTACAATCCTGTCATGTCCACAACCACACAAGTTCTCCGGGTCCGCTATGTGTTGGAGAATTATTTGTTTTCAAAAAAACCAGCGAGCTCTAAAAGATGCAAATTAAGTGTCCTCTCAAACGAATGGGCAGCTAAACATCGCAGATCCCATTACGTGTTATTCTGAGCTGAGACTGTAAACTCAGTTCTATCACATATTACAGAGGGCAGAGGCGGTCTTTAAAAAATCGGGATTACCAATATTTATTTATGCAGTGAATAACTAACAAATTTGCTACGAAGACGTCGTATCAGTAGCTGTCGACGATTTTTCAATGGCCATAGCACTTGAGAATCTGTGATATTATCGGACTCTCTATAGCAGAAGCCATCTCTTTTCCTATGAGGGTGGATGTAATTTTAAATTATGTGGCTCGGGTCTTAGACTCGTTTGTAATTCATATTTCTAGTGAATTTGAGATTGAAATCTATGTTTTTCGACTCAAACTAAGTAGCTATGAACACCAACGATGTACTGTCGAATACCACCACGTTCTTCAAAATCTATTCAGTCACTTAGTTGTTTTAAATACGAGCTCGAAATGACAAAAAAGAAAAACCAAGAACAATTTGTATGTGGAAGTTAGTGAAAACTATTTGAGGATTGCCTTCATAAATGTTGTATGCTGGTCGAGTCAATTCCCTTTCAAATTTTGGGATAGCTAGGCTAGAGCGTAACCACTTGGATTGTAAGGCGTGGAGTGTTTCCAGACAAGTCTGATACTCATTTCCTGATCTCGGTGGAATGAGATGTTTAGTAAGCCTAGTGCTGGTTTGAATCGATACCGTGCTCGTGGCAAATGGCATCACTACCACTGCGCTGCCCCCTCATCCGACGTCATACGTAAATCTTCGTAATCTTAATGCTTCTTTAACATTGTGCGGATGGCAAAATTAAAAATCTGAGGTCTTGTTTTCTTCTTCAAAACCGGTTGCTTTCAGAGCTGTGCCGCGTGTTAGCCAGTCGCGTGATGGCTGCCCTGGCAGTGAAATCAATTCTTCGTCTATTGATGCGAAGTTCGCTGTCCACCTTAAATAGCATTGCTTCAGGTACATATCCAGGGAAAGATTTTCCAAAGGTATGCACCTCTACGAAGTCAGTTTTCTCAGATACAAATATGTTTGTAATAAAGTTGCACCCTTTACCGCCTCATCGTTGCTGGGAGGTTTTTCTGGGGGTCAGGCTACAATGTACAGCGGAGGAATTGATCCTCCCGGCAGGAACTCCCAAGATGAGAAAGAGTCCGGTGTTTCCATCAGGAAGTCCAGCTAAAAGTAAACCATCACCAGGATCCACCACCGTCCAGGTATGGAACTAGTCGCATGGTGGTAAATCTCCCTCTGATCCACAAGGACGGCGACTTTCTGCGGTGTTGACGACCTGGGGTAGACTTTGGCCAGCTTGACCTTGGGACTTCAACGAGCCAGAATGACTAGACCGATAAAACTCCGAGAAAAAGGAAATTATGCTGGGGCCCGCTTAACCAGTAAACGCGGGCCATCCAAGGATCCAAGTAAAGTTACACAGGTAATTCTACACCGATTAGGTTTGAAATGCGAGGCTCAGAATTAATTTGAATAGAGAGACTGAGTCCAAAACAGTGATCGTTTTTGAACGGTAGCCTTAATATTGTCGAGCTCAACTAGAACTTTGTTAACAAGTTCTTGACTCTACGCATTGGGTTCAGTGCATGTATGATATATTCTAGCTCTTCAGCCTTACACAAATATCTTTCAGCACAAAATGAACCTTATTTATTGAACTTAAAGCTGTTGAATGCTTTGTTTTCCTTATCAGGTTTCGTTTTTCGAGTATAGAAGAGGTAGAAGAGAAGCACGATAATATCCAAGAGGACGATTACGTTCCCGTGTAGGGAAACAGTGTGGCCGATCGTCGCTGTAGCATCATCCGATAAGTTTGGTGCGTATAGCAAGAGTCAACTCCTTTGACTACTTGCAGAAGAACTCAATGTAGGCTTCCCAATTGTGTTGGAGCATCTAAAAAAGTTGCATAGTGAAAGGACTCCCACGGTAAAGGCCATACTGATTGAGTGACAACCAAGAGAACTCCCCATTATGAGGGTTTGTCGGCGCTTCTTTTACGCAGCGAAAACGACATCATTCTCAATCGTATTGTAACGTTCGACGAGGAATGAATGCCGTGTGATAATCGGCGAGGATCAGCTCATTGATTGAAGCGCTATTATGGTCCGCAACACTTCTCAATGCCTAGGCTGGTTTTATCCATGTACCCCACATTAATCAACAGAACGCGGTCAATCCTTCTCCAGCGCATGACCAAACGTGGCACTACTGATGTTGCAAAAGTTGAACGAGCTTGACTCCGAAGCGGCTTATATACCAAACTTGCCAGCTCTTTCGCCTACTGACTACCACCTGTTCAGACATCTCGACAACTTTGAGAAATGCTTCAGAAACCAAGGTAAGGCTGAAACTCCCTTCGAGAAAACCAAAATTTCAAGCATTCGGTATTATTACATTTGCTTTTGTAGACAAAAATGTGCGGATTCCCGTGACTTTTATTTCGATTAGTAAAGTTTGTTCCGAGCTGAGATGTGTCATTTTGAGCATACAGGTTGGGATCGGAATTTAATTTCCAGGTCGCTTCGTATATAGGCTGTTACTTCGTTATGCTCCATGTTGTATTTGATGACAACACTTCTCTGCTTCATCGTTGTATGAGAATCTAGAAAGTTTTGTCAAATTAATCCGGCAGAATACTAGCGGACAATTGCCATAACATTCCTCTGGTGCAAACTCAGGTTTCGAAAGTGTCTAGCACATTCGTCTCGGTCCCAAGTATTGCAGTCCTAACGCTGCTAGTTGTGGTATCGCATGCACTCTCCGTCACACATCGGAGTGCGGTTTATAAATGCATTTCAACTAATCGAAAACAGTGTAAATTAAATGTTGGGAAGGGTACTGAAAAGAAAGAATTTTAGATAGGAAGGTTTAAAATGTTGGCAAGACAACAAATTTCTATCGAAAAATGTATCTGTGAAATCCGTAATGATAAGAACGGCTATTATTATTGGATCAACTTTAATACTGTGGTGATCGAATCTCAGCTTTTCGCCGATGTTCCACGTATGATTTGGAGCCGATTATCAGCAAACGCTGCGTATTTAGATAGTCTGCTTGAAGTGATGCATCATGATGGTTGGCAGGTCAGGCACCAGTTACTTAGGTTTTTTATCTGATTTTTCAAGAAAGCATTTATTTTAGGAAGAAGAATCATTTGGCCCTCCTTTTGAGTGGATATTAGTTGACTTCGCATTGTTTGTGGCAGAATTTTGGCTACAAGTAGGAGTATCGAAGATTTCCGCTTCAAATTACAATAACCTCATGCTTGACGATGCACTGAATGTCATTGGGCTAAGTAAGTTATTCCATTAGAACTGAAATTATCAGGGCCGTAGGTATTAGGTGATCGACACTCTTGATTTTTACTAGAATAACCGGAAATTTTGGTGAAGTGATGGGAAACTGTGAGCACTTTTTAACTTTGTTTTATGTTGATGGGAAAGGAAATAACGGATTTCGTCATCATGAGGACCATAAAACTTTTTATTGTTTTATTGCTGTGTGTAGTTCTAGGCTTTATTTTTCGCTAAATTTGCACATATGCTTTTTCAAAAGTTGCTCCACAATGATTTGAGACATCTTTGAATTGTGCTCTTAAAATACGGGGATCACATCGTTTGCTTCATGAGTTACAACATGGTCATCCAGAAATGCTAGCAGATTTATATGTGGTTAAAGTGTAGGCCAATAAAGGGTCGATTGCACAGTGCACAAACGGTTGTTGGAGTATCAGGCCAAATACTTAATTCTTCATAACGAAAACCACAGGGCTATTAGCGGTCAACGAGAGGCATCTGAGGCCGATAGTCGGAGCTGCTCATCCAAAAAGTGCTTGAGATTGTAGACAAAGTCAGCACTTGAAATTCAATAGTTGTCATTTAGAAGGCATTGGAAAGGTGAAAAAGTTAGATAGATGGGCTCTGCATGAATTAAACAAGTGGTAACAAGGTCGTCATCACCAAATCTGTTCTACTGTTCGTTTCTACTTTTTTTAAAAAAATACATGGCATGACATCGCGTATATCCCGCGATGTGGATCTCAGTACTTTCTGCTTTCGATTCGTTTCCACGTATCCTTCATAAACCCTGGTTTTTGAACATTTTTGCGATTTCGGTTGCTGCTTCAGGATACTTCCATCTTCGCCACGGATATCATTGAATTCAGGTCTATTCAATCTTTGTTGAAATCCTGAAGTAGCAGTACTGGGATGTTCCCACATGTATTAGAAGGAATAAGCTTGCCCCAGATAAATCTGGTACCAATTTTTCTTCTTTAGGATGATGAGGGGCTTGATGGCCCTGGTGTGGTGTCGAACGATCGCACGGGTGGGTTGACCTCTCCCCGTAGTGTATAGGAAGGCTGCCACTGCGCCACCTAGTTCCTCAACGTTTTTTTTTCACACAGTAAAATTGCCCATATTTTTGCAGATTATTGAGCGAACACGAGGTAGGTGTAAGAAAAATTTACTCAGTTAACGCCAGAAATCACACTCTTTCGATCACGTGGTGTTTGATGAAAAGTGGGTGCTATATATTATCCATTTGCTTTGGGTTCAGTTCGTCTAAAATTATTCTTTTAAGGATTCTCCGAAAGATAATTTGCATAGCTAGATGACTATGATGAGTTTTCGCTTTCCGCAGGGGGAATCGTATAACGCATCATCAGTCCTGGAGAAACGATAGCGCTGAAGTTCTGGAATGCACGAATACTTCCAACTAATTTTTAGCAGTATCTTGCTGAAAATCTCAGATACTCTCTGCTGAGATGTTATAGAAGTAGTAGTTGGTTAACAAGAGGTTCGATTGATGTAGCGATGATGTGAGGTCTTGTAAATAAGGGGAGGTATAGTTCCACAGCTTTTGTAGCGTCTGTTATTGTACAAGATTCAGTTTTAAGAGAATCATAGTGCCATTAAGACATTGTCTTTTTTGCGGAGAAGTCTATAACACTTCATAACGACTACTCAGCCGTGTTTCTTTTAGTTGCTGTAGAGATCATTTATAGAGTTTTCTAAATTACGAACGACTTTTGAACCATGACGAGTCCTCAAGTAGTTTTTGGAAGAGCACTTTGATTGTCAACTTCAGATGATCGTCGTTAACTGCTCACAAATTCCAACAACTTTCTTCACCATGAACAGACATATTTTTGGTTGGAAACATTAGGAACGATGTTGCATTTTGCGCTCGGAAGAGCTTTTATAGCCGATGCTCTAACGAAATTTCAAGGTGCTGCTATTTCTTCATGCTGTTGATTGAACTCATGTACTAAAACAGTGCGATCTCCATGAATCCAGAGAATTACTTCAAACAGACTAAAATTGTTGCAAATTAATAGCTAAGAAGCAATACAAGGCAATTTGTTAAAAGTGAATGTGGATTTAAACGGCATACAACAGCAACGTCATTTATGAATACTTATTACAATATGTATTATAATATTAATATGTAAGCCGACACCGGAGAGATGGAAGGCTTGATGAGCCTTGGGCGCGGGGATCCATCCCATTTGTATTGCAGGGCGCCTCTGAATATTGCTTTACACACGCCCCTATATATATATTATATATATATATATATATATATGTATATGCACAGCAGTGCCGATTTCTTTTAACGTTTTTTATACTAACCTATGCACCCTCTTCATGTTACGCAGTGCAATGAACTAAAGTTCTGTTGCGACTCTGCTTTTTTGACCGCTACTTTATGACCTGTGATAGCGTTTTCGAACGGTGATCTCCCAGCCCTTGAGCCAAGATAGCTATGATCGTAATACTGCTTAGACGTGGTGTAATTAGTGTATTTAAGATCAATCGAGCGTTGTACCAGAACAAGAGTGTATAGATTCATGGGTTCGACACTTTTCTCCTTTTCTAATATGGAACTACAGCACTCCTCGAAAGGTGGGACTTTCGTTTATTAGACAATATACGTTTGGTTTCCATAAATAGCATGAATGGACCTTTGTTAGTGTTGTATATCTTGTATATATTACTATACACAGTTGTTTTATTTTACAAACATATAGCTTCTACGGGACATATATATATATATATACATATATATATAGCATAATATATGTATATGCCATGTACATATATATATATGTTTTATATATATATATATATATATATATATATATATATATATATATATATATGTACATGATATATATATATATATATATATATATATATGTATACATATGTAATGTGTCTTCCGCAAATTGCAGTTTTGTGGAAGTCCTATTAGGTCTCCAGTTAATTTTGGGCAGACTCCTTCGACGAAACTATTGCCACGAAAACAATGAGTAGAATAATCAGCAAACATATTAGTATCTAAAAGGTAGGAACGTAATAACTAAAACTCTGTTTAAGACATTTGATCCCTATTATTTTCTACTCATTTTAATTTACTCTAACTCTTACCAAATATGCCGTGCACACCCAAAATGCTATCCAGTATAGCGTCCAATCGCAGAAATGCTCTTCAAACATGTATTCTTGGAAGTGCACACGTGATCTGCTTCCGTATACCCATATACATCCTAAATAATGATATTATAGCTTTTGAAAGGATCATCGCTGAGTACTAAACATATAGAATACTAGGAAGATTACGATTATAAATTCCACGATATCTGGATCACCCTTTGATGTCTTTTACTGAAGGCAGTTATTAGAGGATTGGTATATACATCGTAAATACTATACAAATCATTACTTCAAAACCGACTTTTCTTTGATCTCTCTATGACTGATCAATATGTATTCTTTCTATGCTAAAGATTATTTTCTTTTATTCTTTTTTTCTTTATCAAAAAGAATAAAAATCATTATGTTATTGAATGACTCCGTAATCTTGAATCTTGATAGATGTAAATATCCATTTCTGGTAGAGCAACTCTAATATGGTTGCCAACGCTTGTTTGTGTGTATTTCATGCTGTGTGGATTTCAACATTACTAGAATACGCTTGCTCTTCGAATAGTATTTGGCACATGAGTTTTTAAAACGTGGGGGGAGGGGGTATGAAGCAATATTTAAGGCAGATCAAAAACCACATTGAGTCGCTGTGTGGATGAAGTGTTCTGGAGATCATGTTCATTAGTATAACAGAATCAAAACAATTTCATGTTGGTATCTCGGAGTTAGAAGCTAGGAGGAGTGTACTGAGGTAGTGGATAGCGATTCAATAAGGAATTAAAGCGATTATCTATCAACTTGCTGTAGTGGGTTAGAGCAGTAACGCCCTACTTCCCACACTGGATTAGCATATGCGTTCATATACCTTAATTATCATGCTGGTGTATGATATAACTACGTGAATTTTCCCACATTTACGCGGATTGTACCTCCGTTCGGCGAAAACCATGTAATCAAGTAAATAGTAATGCACAGAAAGGGCGGTTTGTTTTCGCCTGTCACGAGTGAGCAGCATGTCTGCTCTCTCGTAGAGACCAACAAGCTACACCGACGAGTCGTCTTTTCAACAATTACAATAAAAATAAAGACTTTCACACGTAAACTGTGATGGTATTCGTGAACCGTGAGCGGGCGAAGCCTGCCAACATCTCCGACGTGTGACAAGACAAGCGCTGAGTTCACTGGAGCTCAAGTCACTGGATGTTCGGAGATGCGGGGAATGCAAGTTATATAACAGTCAGTTTCTGAGCAAATCTAACTAATTTTAACCAAATTTGATGCCAAAAAATTGAGTCCACTGGTTGAAGTAGTTTTTAGAAAGACGTGTTGGTAATTATTGTTTTCGATTTTACATTTTTTTTTACGCTCACCAAGTGTTAGCCACACAACGTTTGATACGATCAAAAGTCCTTCACTGACACGGCAACAAAGATCGAGGGACAAATTGCGTCTTCTGTGTTGAGGAGAAGGAATTAAGCGAACAATACGCATTGTGGAGCTGACAATTATTAACACTCCGATCACCATTAACCAAATCGGAATCATCGGCTGAATCGGACAGAACGGAATATTGAAGGTTCCTAAAATTGAAGTGACGTAATGTGTTTTCTAAATAGGAGTCGAACGGTATCAAACGCAATAGTCATTGTGGTCAATTACGATTTTTTCTTTTAGAAACTATTTATTGACCGAAAGTTTGCGTAGATTGACTGCATGAGTGTTAATTGGAATTCCTTAATCTTATACATAATTTCTTACCTGTGAGTATCAGTATGAAGGCTACTATTGAAAGGAGAATTAGCACGAAAATAGTCACTCCTGAATTAGAATAAAAAAGGTTTGTAAAGGTTCCGATCTAGTTTAATAAACAAAAGAGTTGTGAGGAACGAACCAGGTGGTATCCTCTCATTAATATAAGCTCCAAGGTTTCGTCCGAGGTCGGTAGTGTTATCAGAAGTGGATACAACATCGGAAAGTCGATGATGTTTTCTCCTCATGCCGTTTGAGCTAGCTGAACTCTCAAATCGGAACAGCAAGAAAAAATAACGACCATATTAATTCACCAATGGAGGAAGATGTTCTTTGTGAGGTCTCCAGAAGCGCGGTGTCTTGTTCCAGTAGTCTTGATGGCATTCTGTTGTCGATGGCTATAGAAAACGGTTGCACATGATAGTCATTAGTAGTTGATGATGATGTCATTCGCCACTGCCTGATATCACTATGAATTACGGTAAAAACAATAAGTGATATTGTTGACCGAAAATATGGAACAGTAGTCTGGCCAATTAACAGAAAAATTAGGAAAAAACTGAATTTTTTTTTATAATGACGTGACAGTGAATGAATTTCATAACAGCGTCAAGCCTCAGAAAGGCAGTTTCAATTCCAATGCAGTAAAATTAAAACGATTAAGAAAATTACCAATAAGTTTATATACGTCTACTATGAGTGGAAAATTGTTAGTGCGCTTTAATTCCTTACCACGGCTAAATATACGCATTATTCTCAGTGAACTATTCTAACTATTCTCTTAGTCAGACACTGGTTATTTCAAAGTTTTCATCATTTATTCATGTTCTCGAACCCTCCGCATTTATAGGGGCCTTCTAGGATGCAGTTTTATGTGAAAGATATGAAAATCTGATGAAAGATGAATCTGAATGAATCTGCATGGAATCGGATTTTAAAGAACGCTACCGTGAACTTGCCTATAGTCACTCGTAGAGGGTGAATGGCTGTGAATTGGATGGGTGAATCTATCAAGCGGGAATGTTCCAAACGCTCCTAATCGTTCGGAAGTGTTAGATGAAAAGGTGCTGTTCTGGAAAAATACATGCATACGAGATAATGGTATGTGTGACTCGTGCACGAATCGTAGATTAAGTAAACACTGTACAATGGGTTCTAGTGCTGAAGCGTACCCCAGCTGGAAAGGAGGTCGCTTCACGTGAGAGCGGTCTGCTTTCCATTCTACTTCGTATGATAGCCTGGATCAATAGCTGGAGAGACAATGCTCAATAGTCAGCGATGGACTGACAGCGATGCAAGAATGCAGACTTGTTGGCGAAGGCGTAAACGGCGTGCGAAGACTGCATTGCACCGAGGAGGTGGAATGCCAACAGCGCTGAGTCAACAGTGAAACCATGTCGAAGGTGCGATAGACGCTCGGCGGTTTGAATGCCAGACGTCACGACTGCACGTCAGCGTCAACATAGGCTAGGTCATATTTCTTATTGCTGACGCTCACTACCGGATCAGATGGATGCTGGTAGACCATTAGTCGATAGTTCATAACCGTAGAGGAATCCGTAGGATGGCGGCTACAGGAAAGAGGAGGGTGTGCAAGGAATGTGGATCCTGGGACGAACAAGCTTCGCATGATGATGTGCAACCGAACAGCAAGAAATGGTTCATTTATTTGGTTCATACAACTTTAGAGTGATGTTTCATTGTGTGTAGTTTGAAAACTTCACTATATTCGGGCCATTATATAAAGTTCTTCGGTGAGCTATCTTTTCTATAATATAGCTCAAATAAAAAGTGAAGTGCTAATGAGTAAATTTAATAGTAGCTGCGGAGTTTATTCAGTTAACTGCCTAGAACGGTGCAGGTTTCGCAAAGTGCTTTTCTACTGCCCGAGATAGTTGTCCTCATTTTTATGGTTCGTTTCTATAAAGAATTTCTTCATTTTCAGGCGTTCAGTATGGAACCGTTAATGTGGCGTCCATTTTTATTGCTAGATCTTCCACAAGAATATGACGTGCTATTTGCGAGGTATTTTCAACGACCATGTATCAGCTGTGCGAAAGTAGGCTTCATACACTAATATCGGTACGAATGTGAGCGATTGTGTTTTTACCTGAAATTCCTTTTAAGGTGCCTCAATTTCCATTTGTTTGTCTTCTCTGCTCGAAATTGGTGTGCTTGGATTCTTGTTGCAACATCACCAATCTTGAGGGCTATGAAGGAAATTTGTCTTCAAATGAAGTTGAAAGGGTTGGTAACTGAGTATCTGGGATTTTATTCGTGTGTTTTCACTGCATTATTGTTTGAATGGGCTGTTTTGGAGTTTCCTCTGCATTTTGGTGATGACCCTAACAAGTGAAATCGCATTCAGGATTTAATTCATGAAAATTTAGATGTCTCCGAGCGACAATTCCGTATTCATTAACGTTGACCCATAAAATCATATTTATAAATTGTAATCAGTACAAGATCTCCACTAGTTTTCATTAGTATTATTAAAATACCAACTAGAAGTTCTATTTCTTCGATATGTTCGTCCTGCCAAGCAATACAGAATGTTTACAATGTTTACTCTTTATTTTCCGCCTTCTATAATTTTTATAGCAGCGAAATACAACCACAATATTACTGAGATATTTGCAAAACTACGGACCGAAGGTATCTGCGGTGGGGAACGAATGCGCTGTTGTCATTTCCGGAGAGTAACGCGTTCACCACCACACCATGCGGGTCCATCGTTTCGCCTGTCTCTCAGCTAGTTCCATTAATACGGAATGTTGTTTTATTTTTTATGTCACAGACGTCTAAGGAAGAGAAAACGAGGTGGTACGTGCAGAAAGTTGTTGTTGTTGTTGAGAAAAAGAACCAGGTTCTTGAATAGCGAATTTGATTCTATTGTTTCTAACCTCCTATATAGGTTTCCAAGGTATTTTGCATGTTTTCAAATTTTTCGGTTTTCGTTTAACGTCTTACCTACATTTCTTCTAATTAGTCGATATCATGTTCAGCTCAGATTTGTGGTTGGCATCAGTCGGTAAAAGCTCTATTCCGTACTAAATATACACAGAACCTTTTCTCGAACGAAATTGTTGACCAGTAATTTAACTTGCATTTGGTTCTTATTCCTGTTTTAATCGCTGTAATGAATCGCAGCTATCAGATGGAGGAAGTGGTTGGGGCGGGGGTTAATTGCAGTAGAGTCTCTTTTGCAATTCTGCATTGTTCTAAAGTTTTTTGATTTTCGCAGTATTATCGTCTGTTGCTAAAGAGCCAGTAGGTCCTTAACAATCGAAGATCAGGACGTGGTTCCATCCCTCGACAACACAAAGTTAGACGTCGTCGCGAATGTTTTAATTGGGCGATAAAACATTGTCGTTTGGAGGCAAATATCACATCTCCGTCTCGTTTTCAGACTAACGCTTTTGTATTCCAGAAATAATTTTTTGGTCGAGTTTAGTAGATCCTTTAGATATTTTTAGCCATTAAGGCGGTTTTTTTTCCAACGAAACACAAGGAAGTGCGCCGTTTTCTTGTTCAGCAGTCGAGAGGTTGTTATACAGCATACATTTACTTCCATAGTGAAACACAGTACAGTAGAATAGTAGCTGACGTTTCGGCAATATCGACTTCTTCAAGAAAACGACGCATTCATATTCTAGTGCCGAGTTTGGTAGAAAGTCGATCCTGGGAACTGTTACAAAGAAGTGCGGTTTCTGCTTAGTGTTTATACCTTGTTAGACGAGTTTTCGTGTTTAATGGTCTCCACATTAAATATTGGACAATACAAAACCGATCGCTCTGCCCAGTTCAATTAATTTGGTTTCTTTACAGATCTCTGTTAAATGAGAGCGCTGCAAAAATAGCGTTTACTGGAGATTATTTAAGTAAGGGTCTCCATTTTTAAAAAAATTGCCGCGATTCTAAATATAGCTCGTTATTTATTAACTTAAGTCATATTAGGTGCGCGAGTAGCGCCGTTGTGAAAGGTGCTGTGTTTTACACAAATGTCGTTTGGTTGGAAAAGGGTTCCTAGGTTAATCAAGTCCACACTCACTCCAGGGTGGGCAAATTAGGTGATAAACTAACTTGATACAGTGCTGGACCTCAAGTATCATTGTTTCAGGTTAAATGTGTTTCAGTAACCTCCGAGATGCTTGATAGAATCAATCAAATGTATGGTGCCCCATTGTGATGCTGATTAATGTCGAACGTTTTATTTGTTTAATTTTATAACTGATTTGTGGAAATCACCATGATTGGGTGTTCTTCAGCTCTACTTTGTAGCTTGTTAGAAGGACAATACTGTTTCATCAAACGCTGTGAAGTTCAATGAATAGTCATTTCAAACGTTTATAGGAACTATGTGGAAGTGAACGTGAATTTCTTAGACGGTATTTAACTGAGTGCAACGATGAGTGCTAAATTGCAATAAAATGCTCATCATGGTAATCATGTTGTTTCAGCGATAGAGGAGATTTTGAACTTGCATCACATAAGTCGCAGTTCACCCAAAAAAATTGTTTGTAGTACCAGCCGATGAATCGATCCTGCGTCTTGCTATACCAGAGTAGCTGTATTTTTTCAGCATGCTATGGACTGTGGTAGAGAGGCGTGTTGCTTCTTGGCACTGAATTCGTCGCTGATTGTTATTGTTCGTCTAGGATTGGCCGCTATCTGGGGATCCGTTTATTTGGACGCTCATGGTGAAGAGGATAGAAATTTAAGAAGAGGTTAGTATCCTCTCCTTCTCTCAGTACTCACCAGCTCATGAAAATGCATGAATTTCGGATGCATAAATGCAGCCAGAATGTTCACATCTTTATGGCAGGTGTAAATGTTACGAGAACTTGTTTTGAACATATACGATTCACGTTGATAAATGGGTATTATAATGTTTGTTATAATTGTTGATTCGCCGTGAACAGGAAACGAAAATCGTTAGTGGAAGCAGTCATTATAGGGTTTTTCCAGCTACTTGATATGACTTTGCCAGTTCATTGCAACGTGGCTGTATTGTGGAACCGATATGACTTTCAAAGGTGGCAGCTGATGGTAAAAAGGCTTAAGATCTTTCCAGATTGTATAAAAAAGTGAGAAGAGTTGGCCGCACTACTGATTGTGTGTCGATATAATGCATGGCAGAGATTAGCTAACATAACTAACGGCTAGTTATTGATGTCAATTCAGGGAAGCCACTTTTTCTCTCCACAAAGCGAGTTGACTGTCTTCGAAGTGACTGGGCGGAACAAGAATGGGAGATGGCGGGAGTCGCTTGGATGACGGTAGATGCTATTCAGCAACAACTAAAAGATGCCCATCTATATCGCTGAAATCTTTACGAATAGTTTTTATTATTAGATTTGCTGCTGACGTTGATTCGATTGCTTTTCTTTCCTCCAAGTTTTCAAGCGCTTTTACAGTCGTATTATTTTAAAGGATTTCTAATCCTTCCACTGACCGGTGCACCTATTTCACGAATTGTTCGGTCGTGCAAAATTTTAGTTGTCAGTTGAAAGCAGGTATATCTTGAACACAAGTATAAAGTCCAAGCAGAGATGTTACATTTGATTTTCACTGAGGGAATCTACATAAAGAGTTCTATCAAAATCTTCGTTAGGGAAGAAAAACTTTCGGTTACGTCAGTGTTGTCGTGCCTAAATTTCTCTTTTTCTTATGTATTTCATCATCAGTATTGATACCTGCATTTTTCCTCTCGACCACTGTATTTGTAGCACTAAAGATTGTGAGGAAATAGTCTTGTTTGCCACGCTTAGCAAGAAGTTAACTAATCAAAGAGGTTTTAGTAAACGTGATAACTTTCTTAAGCCGTTGGTTGCAGCTCTCTGATTAGTTGGTTCTATTGTAGACTTGCCTTTGAGCTAGATCTTTACAGAGTAGACGATGTGAGTTGCTATAAAATTGCTGTGAAGAATGTGTGTTTCTATACCTCTGCTTTTGCAAACTAGTCGCATTGTAGTTCATATAGGTTTTATTCGCACTAACAGGAATCTACAACACTAATGAACGTTTGCCGTACTGCTTTTTCCTTCATGGTCTACTGTAACCTACTAAAAGATTGGATAAAAGGATAAAGGGTAAAGCTGGCGGCGTTGATCAATTCCTAAGGGATGTGTCATGCGTTCGACATCATTAAGCATCGTTTGGAGGTGATTGAGTGCGTCTGGTCTTTACAATGACTCGCGGTTGCCTACCGATTTATCGAGCCATAGCTGCTATCCTCCCAGATAAGTCTGGTACCAAATTACCGACTCCGTAGGGATGGAGGGCTTAGTGGGCCATGGAGGCTGGGACTGCTTCCACATGTGTGTTGCAGGGCGACTCGGACCACTGCTCCAAACGCGCCCCTCTTTAAGGATTGAGGCAAGTAAAGTGGCATTGTCGCTGAACGAGCTTCTTGCTAGGTAAATATTCTGGCTTTCCATCTCTCCAGGCCCATAAAATTGTAGTCAAGGTTCTATTTAACACATCTGTGACGACTTGGCCTCTATTGTGGTCATGATTGGGCAAAAGTACCCGGCATTAGCCCTATAGAGGTCGTTATGTTTCCCGGAGTTTATTTTCTTGCACAGAAGTGCTTTTCAACACTTATTGAAATCATTTGTTAGGCTGCCTAGTGCAGATGTAAAATCGGAGCTCGTCCATAGGAAGGTTTTTCCTTAATGGTTCATCACTCAGTTTCTCATTTTCTGGTGAGAGACTACTGCAGCTGAAGGGGTGTGCGGGTAGAGAGTGTGGGCAGTCAAGAGGCGCAGGGATGTCTGGGAGAACTGGCATAGCGTGCACTGTGCAGCGTCATTTTTAAGAAACAATTTGTTTCTTTCTAATTTCCTTTCGCAACGATAACTTTTGAGTATTGTTTGGAATGAGAGGATATCAAAACTAGAAGGAAACGTAGTATTCTATGAAGATCTTATACAGCTTCATTGAATGCTGCTAGCATCACCTATATCACCTAGTCTCGTTGATAGTCGAGTGACTCGAGTGAGCGCCAGTAAATCTTCCATTTTTTTCTGTCGCGCGCAAGAGCAGCCCAGTGGGTTCTGCTCGCTCTAGGGACTCGTCGAGCATCATATCTTTTTTCTAGGCTCTTCGTGAAGTACTCTGACCGGTGGCCTTTCTGCAGTACGTTTGACATCCCGAGGAATCCAGCCACTGGCGGCTCTTATCCATCTGTTGTCATTCATACGCACTACGTGTCTGGCCCACCTTATCTTCGACTGTTTGGCGTATAGAACGGCATCTTTGATTTTTGATCGTTGACGTAGGCTGGGGCCGTCGGATCCCATCCCTTACTTGTGTGAAACGGGATACTCCTAGCATCGTCCTTTCGGCTGCGCGTTCGATAACGCTGAGTGATCTTTCATCCTGCTTACGCACCAACCGGGTTCCTGACGGATACGTTAGAGCAGGAAGTACCGTCGAGTCGAATAAAAGTGGGTACGGAGTCGAGCGTTCTTTGTCCTCTTCACTACATCCCCGATGCTCTTGAAAGGTCCCCAAGTCGCTCGTTTCCTTCTGCTAAGCTCTGGAACTAAGTCGTTCATTATATTGATTTCCCGACCTAGATAGACATAACTAGAGCATTCAAAGATATACGTTCCGTTGAGCGTGAATGGGGCATATGAAACCAATTCGTTCTTCACGAACATCGTTTTTGTGAGATTTAGTCAAACACAAATCTTTCCACAGGCTTTGTCAAAGTCGGGAAGCATACGTTCCGCTTGACTAATGTCTGGTGTTATAAGGACGATGTCATCAGCAACAGAAGTTGGTGTAATTGCCGACCATCGATTTTCACTCCCATGTTGTCCCTTTCCAATGTTCATATGGCATTCTCGAGGGTGGCAACAAATAATTTTGGCGAGATGGTATCGCCTTGCGTAACCACTCTTTTGACGTCAATGTTGATATCGTTGCAGAATAGTGATACCTTGGTTGTGAAATCTTTGTAAAGGTCACGAAGAATCTTTGTGTACTGAGTAGGAACTCCTTGACTATCAAGAGCTTCCATGGTTGCTTCTATCTCAGTTGAGTCAAGGGCCTTCCTTAAATCGATGGAAGTGAGACAGTGCGGTCTTTTGTACTCTCGCAATACTTCAATGGATCTTGTTATCGTGTGGATGTGGTCCATTGTACTAAATCTTTTTCGAAACCCTGCTTATTCACATGGCTGTCTTTCGTTTCGTCTACTGTTCTGTCAATCCTGTTTAGGATGACTCGAGTGAAAAGTTTGTAGACGACAGACAGTAGGCAGATTGGGCGATAGTTGCCGATATCGTATGACACCCTTCTTGAACAGTAACACGGTTTTGAATAGCGTGCCTGCAATCAGACAAGTAACGTGTGAAGAGCCGAGCCAGTGTGTTTACGAGGACTGGCTTAAGGCTCTTCAGGTGTTCTGGTGTTATCCTGTCCGAACCTGGTGCTGTTTTTCACCGACGAAATGACATGTCGGATTTCTGAAGTGAGAACCGGTCGTCCAACATATCCATCTCCCTTTGTTTCATATGACGGAAGGAGGACGTGGCTATCAAAGAGATCTGAGCAGTATTCGTGAATGATTTTCTCCACTGCCTTTCTGGACGCTGTAACTGTTCCGTCTGGGCGTCAGAGTGCAACCACCTTGGTCTTGTAATTGGCGAAGCTTCGGTGAGCTTTACGAACGCTTTCTCCAGCCTCTGCAGGTTCGACCGCTAATGCTACTCTTCTCTCCTTATGATCTTCTTTTATTCCTTGTCCACATTGTTTTGCAACTGTGGACATTAGTTTGCGGTTGCCTGCAGCTCGTGCGATATTCTTCGTTGATGTTATCGACAACGATATCTTCCCGACAGCCGACTAATAAATTGAATGATTCCCAGTTTACGGTGGTTCTGGTGGTTTTCGATTTTAGAATTTAGCGGCTTTTTCTCCTTTCCGTGAGAAATAGAATCTTGCACGAAGGTGACGGTGGTCTGATCCCGTGTAGAATTTTGGGACAACAGCGACATCAGTTAGGCAAAACCTTCTATTTATTATTATGTGGTCTATTTCGTTATAGAACTCTCCACTGGGAGACTCCCACGTCTAGCGCTGAGGGTGGGGCTTCTAGAATTGCGAGTTAGCATGGATTGTCCTGGTCGCCACGATAAACTCATACAGCAGCTCACCCTGTTCCTTCCATTCTAATCCGTGGGTACCACTGTGACGTTCTTCAGACGTTCTTCTTGGTCCAATCTTGGCGTTGAATTCTCCAATGATGACCTTGAAGAATGTATGGTCTTCCCTATACAACTTCTTCAAGTGCACATAGAACGCTTCGACTTCTTCTTCGTCATAGTTTGATGTCGACTCGTAAACGACGAAGATTGTCAAAGTCGGTATTGATCCACTTGTTTTTAATTGTAAACTTCCGATTCGGGTTGTAAGGTGCCCGAATGAATCGATGCTGGCAGCATAGGGTTGCTTAATGGACGAGTTTTTTCTTCAAGATATACAAGAGCTGTAAATGAACCAAAAAATGGGGTGGTCTAAAGAAGGACATGAACCAGACAGAGGATAAGCGAAGAGCAGAAATTCTTTCGAAATACCGAGTTATAGTGACTATTCCTTAAATAGTTCCTATTTCTATGTTACCTTATGTCTTCTACAATAACTGTTTTACTTGTAATCGTTATACATCTATTATCGCATATTCTGTAAATTGTCTCTCAACGACCGTTTCAAACATTTGCCTCGTAGCTGGGCTATAAAGGGATACTGTAACTTCTTTTTATCTCTGCTCTGCTTTGTCCAATCACTCGGGTGCTGAATAAGCCGCCGCCAGCTGCATGTGCTTTCAAGAATCAGCCATTCCCATGCACTTTCTGTGTAAGCCTTTGTATAGCCTTCATGAACGATTTGTACAGGAAATTGCACTAACTGAAAAAGTACATAACTTCTCATTGAGCACTATCTCTGATTCCCTCTGTAAAACCCCACCCATTACAGACGGAATATAAGTAGCATCCTTAGTCATCAAAACCAGTGTCTGCCTTCCAATCTTCCAGTGCTTATCTTCCAGTCCCTCAGTTCCTCGGTGCTCCAACTCCAGTGTCCTCCTAGCTTCCCTCAAGTGTATCACTTGTTCTCATTTCAATCCCGCTCATATCCACCCAGCTTACATATCGTCAAATGTCACACATTATGATTGCATCGTTGTTGTTACTATAAACTGTTAAAACCCAAACTCAAGGTTATTCACGACAGTGACGGAAAAAAGTCCCGCGTGGCTAATTCATATAAAGTGGAACATTCCACGTACAGTTGGCGGACAAAAGTCAAATCCGTC